CGATTTGGATGGGGAGGGTGACATTGTCAACTCCCTGTTGTTAACATCTCGTGGAAAAAGGGCAGGCTCTTCTTAACACTCATTGGGGTATCCTTCTGATCGACGGCTCGTTTTTTGACCAATTGTATGATCATGTGGCTGGAAGGAGATTCTCTATCATCCCGTGGAGGCGTATAGGTGAATGTTCCTATCGATTCACCAAAACCGTTTTTGGCCCTTCATACAGTGACATGTTGAGGACAATCAGAGGTTGATCAAATCAAACAGTGAGGAGTTTCCGTGCTACAATGATGGTAGACACAATTCAAGAGCCACATGTGAAAAGGGCATACAAGCTTTTTGTAAACAAACCTATGTAGGCCCTTTTCTCGCCAACCGAGAGTTGCCCACGCAAACCAACAACATCATCGGGAAGGGTAAAGATTCCCCTACCCGATGATGATGATGGTTTGCGTTGGTGTCATATGGGTGGCGAGAAAAGGGTATAAGAAGGTTTGTTTACAAAAAGCTTGTATGCCCCTTTCACATGTTGTTCTTGAATTATCATACATACATCATACATGAAGCCACTACGTTAAATTGGGTTTAATAGATTATAACTACAACAGCAGTATTTTCGTAGATCATGCATTTGTTTCTGCGTTCAAAGATATTCTTAAGACTCATTCCTGTTATTTTAAACTTGCCTCTGAAATGAGCTTAGCAAACATATTATTGCATTCTTGAATTCTCTGCAGAACAATCCACAAAATGAATTATGTTATCATGCTTCTGCGTTAATTTTCCTTCCGATGTCATTGCTGTTCTTAACGGTGATATCTATAAGAAATTACGCATACACTTAGTTCCGATAACTGTTAACAGAGGGCAGTGCGGTCAAAACATGTATGGTTCCTTTATATGTCTAAATAGAGCTTTTGTAAACAATGACTTCTCTCGATGATTTCTCGAAAGTCATGGCTCGCCCTGGCAAATCGACATCACCATCAAGTAGGGGAAGACTTCCCCTACCAGATGGATATGTTGGTTTGTGTAGGCGTGGCATAAATTTCTAAAAATCAACGAGAGAAGCCATTGTTAACAAAAGCTGTTACGCCTTAATTCCAGCTCTATCTAGATATGTAGTTAGATTAACATCCGGAGTCTCTCCTTTCTTACATATTCGAGGACAAAAATGCTTGTAAATCTTCGATGCTGGATGGGAAATCTAATTGCAAAACTCACACTAATAAAATTTGTATGGTTATTTTTCTTAACGACGTGTTCAGGGTATCATCAAAACCGTTTGTGGAACAGTACAGATATGGTACTTTTTTTATTAGAGAAGGGTTCCAACATTTTTTCAGTATTAGGTACTATATTTTGTCTGTCTGAGAGATTGAGCTCGTAAGAGAAAATTTTCACTCTTGGATTTTATTTGTTTGGCTCTCTTAGTCATGTCTTCAAATCTGGCATCCCTGACTCAGGGCGATAGAGTCACATAGTGGCAGAGAAGTGTTCAAAAACAGTCTTGAAGCAACACGCACTGTGCGGTAGATCAAATCTCTTCATATTGAATCATTTGTGATTATAATGAACTTCAGCCGGCGTCGGTGGTGTAGTGGTAAGCGTGGCTGCTTTCTCACCCTAATGGGTCTGGATTCAATCCCAGCCGAGGTCGGTGGGATTTTTGAGGCATAAAAATCTCTGGTCACGTCTTCCTTCGGAAGGGAAGTACATCCGTTGGTCCTGACCCATGTGTGTTTGAATAAATAGATGCGATATCCTACGTAGGAGTGGAAGCTGCCTTCCTGCACATTCGATTGCCGTCAATGGATGGCAATCGATGTCCGTCGGTGATTGGCCCTAGATTGCGGAACAGAGACCGCCATTAAATAAAGGAAAGAAGTATATTGAACTGCATCCAGCATTTTTTGGGCTGCATTCTGCCCAAAACCTATCATGATTAATTAATTAATTTAGCTTTATTTAGGAGGCTTTCAGCCTTAGGCTGGTTCGCCTCCAATATCCTATCATGATATATTTGGTTTATATCTTGCAACAAAATGACTTATGAAAAATTGTGACAAAAAATTATGAATTGCAATAATACCGAGTTTTTCACAGTTTTCCAGGTTTGCTAACTTCCAATACTAGAAATACGTCAGGAAACGTGTTGTAGCCGAGCTATCAACGAGAGAGAGAGAGAGAGAGAGAGAGAGAGAGAGAGAGAGAGAGAGAGAGAGAGAGAGAGAGAGAGAGAGAGAGAGAGAGAGAGAGAGCCGCCGAAAGGCTACACGACTCATTGGCCATGGTCAGAAATTTTCATAACATTTAAACAAAACTAGCAACACTGCTATATTACTATCATTGTTTACATTCCGGTTGACTTGCAGAAACAAAAAGTGTCTCAAACAACTGAATTGGAATCGTTCAGAAACATTTTCACATTAAAGCCAAGTTGGAAACAGTATTCATCGTTTTTCAATCGTAAAAAAATACACTGGAGTCGCTTTTTACGCGGGTGATACGTCCCGCGTAAAAAAAAACCGCGTAAATTCCGGAATCCGCGTAAAAAAAAACCGCGTAAATTCCGAAATCCGCGTAAAAAAAAACCGAGTAAAAAAAAAACCGTGTAAGAAAAAACCGCGTAAAAAGCGATATACCGCGTAAATTCTGAAATCCGCGTAAAAAAAAACCAAAATCCGCGTAAAAAAAAACCGCGTAAATTCCGGAATCCGCGTAAAAAAAAACCGCGTAAATTCCGAAATCCGCGTAAAAAAAAACCGCGTAAAAAGCGACTCCAGTGTATGATTATATATTTACAGGAAAATAAAACTAAACTGAGCTGGAAAAACTGAGTAGGGTTGGGGAACGAGGTATGCGTGTTGGTCAACGCGTTTGTCGATCGCAGATCACAATGCTGGAGCAAGGCGTTCCGCAAAGATACTTCCGCAGAAAAAGTTTAATTTGATTTGGTAGGGGTACAATCCTATCAGACGATCACTTTTCCCGGGGGCATCTTTGACTATTGCTTTTATCACAAACGAAATTTATGATTGTGGGAGGTGTTAATACTTCCCACACAATCGCTTTTCATCGTTCTCTACGAATTTCCTCGAACTTGAAGCAACAATGTGGTAGTGTCCAGTCACTTCATGATCTCGCAACCTACTTTCCTACTACCTACTTTCACGTTGTTATTCTTCATGCCACTATTGTCCTCCACAGTCCTTATCAATTCCACTAGCAAGCAGTCGATATTGAAGCAAAGTTTCGTAGCAATTCCAGTCTCGTGCTGCTTCGAATCCGTTTCAAAACATTCGAACTGTCAGAAATACTGGGTTGCCAAGCATACCCAATTGTTCACAATTCACTAAAAAATACAGTCGGTACAATGATCGGTACTACCGGCACAGCTGCGGCACACTTGGGGCACACAGAGAAAAAAAAAATGCCATCTGTGTCGAGTGGTGGGGTTGTGTACAAGACACGACCGCATGGTTGACTTAAACTACGTTAAGCTGTTTAATGATTTTCTCGTGCATTTTTCTTGATATTGATTTAAAATACAGTAAAAGTGGTTTTTCGTAAATCAAACGTTTGGTTTCCAATAAGGTGCTCAGTACAACATTAATTGAAATTTGAGAGGATTCAGATATTCATTTTCAAAATCAGAGCAAAAGCTTGTATACAATACAGGATCTCCACCTGTTAAATGTAAGCATCATAGTCCTATGCGAAAATGAGCGGAGGCGCGACAGCAGCGCTCATTTATAGGTTTAAGTAGAACGATGCACAATCAAGCAATACTCGATCATGACTAAATACTTGAACCTAGACGACGGTTAGAAAAAACATTTATTCCATGAAAACAGTAACAAAATTATCACTTTTTATATTAAATTGTTCATGTTTTTATTATGGAAAATTGGAAAAGTATGTTATTTAGAAGATTCGTAGAGTTAGTTCCTATCGATTGGTATATTTGGATTTAAATTTCATCAATAAATGACAAAGTTATAAGCGTTCAAAACCTAACACCTTTTCGTGACGGTCGTAATTTAAGATTTTCATTTTACCCCCAGTACCTTCTCGTAAAACACAGTCTAGATCAAAAACTTCTACATGCCATAGGCTAAATTTCGTCAGAAACTTTTTATAAACTTGATTTTTCAAATGTAATTTAAGGCAAAAATCCTGGGAGAAAATTTTACAAGCTGTCGATGGTCTCCCAAACGAATTACTTATGACTTCGATTGAAAATCTCAGCTTTTATGTTTAACATACATACAAATCATTCGAACTGCAACGAACATTTCGAGAACAGTTTACACTTCAGCACATACCTTACAGGGGGAGAGGGATCCGTTACTACACCGAAAATAGTTTTCATGTAACTGCCATTGGAAACGCACATGATTTTCATCCTTAGTCAAAATTAATGGAATTCATCTGAATTTCACATAACATTTATGTGATAACATTAACTTTATATGATTTCTTTTCATATGAATTTCATCGGCTTCATAATATTCATGTGATTTTGTGGAGGGATTTAGCTGCAAAGGAAAGCTATGTGGAATTCACATGGATTTCATCCACTAGATACGTAATAAATTTTTTGAGTGTAGTTTTTTTTTTGACAAAACGCATTTGGGGATGAAAGCATTGTTGATGCTCTTTCCCCCCTTGTTCCGCGTCTGCTGCTGCTATGTTGTTATTTTTTTATGCTGGTGATGACTTAGCACGTAGATTACAAGAAGAAAGGTGAGGGAAACGAATGGGATTCAAATTTACGATTTCAGCCAGATTTCGTCATTGAAAGAGGAAAACAATTAAAACCGAAAATAACTTCCTCTTATCGCCGTTCCGAAAATAGGTCCAAACCAAAACAAAAATAGAAAATCAGAACGTGATATTGTTTAGTGTTACTCGACTTTCTATGCATAATGTGTTAGTAGTAAATGATTCAGTTATAGAGAGATAGATGAGGAGGGAAGTGAAACGTTCAATCCTACCTTCCAGCAGCCGCTGTATCAGGTTATCCACGTCCAGATCGTAGTCGGACATTGTTCGGCCTTTTCTTTATTCGTTCCGCTCGCTGGTCACTGGCGCTTATAATTAGCTGCTACTAGTGTTTTAGTAGGTATTGGTAGTAGTAACTTGATCAAAAACTGATGCGCCTCTTCGCCGACTTGACGGTCGTCGTCGGTTTATGATCGTCAAGAATAGATTAGTTCCGCTCTGGAAGCGCTCGGACTTGTTTTTCTCCCACTACAAAAACTTGCTGACGTCAACCGTCTTCCACCGACCAACACTTTTATCTTCTTTTGGGGGCAATTTTCTTCACTCACTCACTCGAATTTCGCGTGAAAATCTTCTCGCGCACTACCACGGCAAAAGCACGCACTAGAACTCGCTGCTGGCTGCTCTTGCGATCGTCGGTCGGTCAGAAAGAACCGAGACTTGTTCCGATCCGATCCGATGAAATTTTTGGCTAGAGAAAAAAACAAGGGAAAAAGATTGAAAATTGAAGCAGAGAAAAAAAAACAACCGAACCGCTCCGCGATGTTTATTAATAACTGTATCCTCCTTTCACACACTGACTGGCTGACTGACTGAATGTGTGGCGGCGCGATCGAACCCGAAAAGCCACTCTTCTACTTCGGTTGGTACGTCCGAGATGTGGGGTGTGAATGTTGTTGCTATTCGCCCTGGATGTGTGTGACTCTACTAGAGAGAAGTGCGCTCCATCGCGCCGTCGTATGTTTATTCTTTAATTTTTCACTTGAAAAATTTCTGCCTTCCGTGGCAGTCACTTTTCGCACTTCGAATCGAATGCCTTTTCTGGGGAGTTGTTCGGGAACTGGATAGCGCGACAGACACAGGCACACACACTGTTAACACTTTGGTGATAATGATTGACATACAATCACAGCAGATCTTCCCTTTTATAGTGCAGAATAAATAGGTCTAAACCCTCCTGCACTTGAGACCGACCGATCACGCTCAGTCCCGGATGGCAACAGCTGGCAGAAAATTTCGCGAATCCACCCCCGCGCCGTCAACACACTCGTACCTAATTTATATTTATTTTCTCAATTTAACCCAAAAGAATAACAAGTTTCACCATCTGTCAGATCGGATGGAAGGCGCACGGAAAATCGCGGTTTACTTCGACGAATCCGGAATTCCTCCACACTGAACCAAAAAGGCGATGAAAATTCTTTCCCTCAAGTTTCAACACACAAGCACACCCTTTTTCACGTCTGATCAGAATCTACTACCGTCGCGAATCAGCGTGAACAAAAAATTAGATCAACACCCGTCTCCTCCCCTAATAGCTCCTACTGCTAGCTGTCGTCGTCGAAAAGAATGAATATCCACTAATTTTTTTTCACACATGTGCTGCCTGACTCGCACCCACACACACTCACACATACACACTCTCACAGGACACGATACGCAAAATATTAATCCCGATTCTTTTTTTTTCTACACATGTAGCAATGCGTCACGAACAATGGTTCAATCGCCGAAGAAAATTCCGGCGTCCCTTTTCACTAGCCTCTAATGAAAATCCAACCTTTTGCACATCTACCCTGAAAACACGGTATTAATCGAATCAATCGGCCCCAATCACCTCACTACAATCTATTATAAAAGTCACACTGAACGCGCAGCGAACGAACGAACGGGTTTTTGCTACCAGTCGCGGAAAATGCTAGCAATCGAATGAATCTTCGCTGCTGGACGGACGACACCGGAACGCGATTCTCTCTGGCTAGCTGGACGACTCTTCTGTGGCACTCGCGGAAAATCTGAACGTTTTTCTACGTACACACGGAAGATATTCGGTAGTGTGCGTGTGTTGCGCCAACCGTCAACTATGCACGCACACACTAGCAAGCAAAGTGATCGTTTTGGCGTCAAAACGTTGTATTTCTGGGCAGGGGTGTACTGACTTTTCTGGAAACGATACAGATTTGTGGGTAGGCCCGTTGAAATATTACGTACCACAAAAATGGCGCTTTTACTAGAGTCGGTAATAGCAACCGGTGGAAACTAGAAATACTCAGAGGGAGAGAATGTTTTGAGCCAAATGAACTGCAATAATCTGAGCCAATCGAACATTCCAATTAGAATTTTTTTTCTTATTCATACTAGAATAAATTTGAGAGTATTGCAATCGAACAGAAATTCAATCACCAGTGTGCTTCTCAAATTCAACTAGTTTTTGGAATCAAAAACAATATTATAACTCTATTGATTAATTGATCTTCGCCTGTTAACGAATGGCACCAAGAAATGTGCAAAATATTGCGATGCAATTAATTATTATTTTGCACCTAAATTGAATCAAAAATACAAGTCATTTGAAATGTTAGCAAGATAATTTAGGAACAAATCCCTGCTGCCGAATTGTATTTTATTTTCTCCGCCTATCTCTCCCTCTGAGTATTTCTAGTGGAAACTAACGATTTTAAATTATCGTTCATCGATGTACTTGGGACCGATAAGGCTCAAGCGCAATGACAGCGGAAGCGGAACGGCAGCGGAAAAGCCCGATCTGAGTTAGCCTACTTGTCGGATTGAAAACTAGTTAGAACCAAATCGACTTCGGTTAGGCTTTTTGATGTCATTTGTGACAACTGTCAAACTTTCCGTTTCCGTTCCACTTCCGCCCACATTGCGCTTGGGCCTTATTGGTCCCAAGTACATCGATGAACGATAATCGTTAGAAAGATGCACCAACCGTAACGGCTGAAGCAGCGAAGTTTCAAGAGTTAGATGAAAAGGCAACGAATGTGATCATCTCCTTCATCCACGATGATTTACTGGATTGGATTCGTAAAAAATAAACGTCCACGGAAATTTAAAGGACGCCAAGAAGTCGGTTTCGTCGCAAACACTTGTTCGCAAGCAGAGAATGGCCGAAGATGCATCAATCAAGGATCATTTGAAGACTTTCGACGAGATTATTCGAAAACTGAAGTCAGCAGGAGCAAAACTAGAAGAAAGTGATCTGATTTCGCAGCTGTTGGTAGAAGAAATGAAGAAATCTGACCGAATGAACGATTATCACCAAGAGAAGCAGTCAGCGTTTGTTGGAATCAAACAGAAACCACGGAAATTCTCAGTAAAATGTAATCGATGTCACAAGAAAGGACATATGGTTAAGGACTGCAGAAGCAAATGCAGCAAGTGGCGGAAAGGCTGTTTCGTTCATGGGCAGGACTCAGGAGCTAGTGACCACCTACTGAACCAGAAGTGATGTTTCGAATCTCTGCAAAAGATGACCAGTCCATAACGGCATGTCACAAAGGAAAAATCATCGGAGTCAACAGTCTCGGTGTTCAGTGTACCATATACAACGTTTTATGCACCAGATTTACGAGCAAACCTTCTATCGGGGCTGAATGGAGCAGGTGTCAAGGTGTCGTCGCTTGGAGAAAAATCGGTTGAGATGAACCACAATGGTTAGATTGGAGGTATGTGTCCTTTGAAAGGCGATTTCTACGAGCTAGACGTTTACCTGGAGCATGCAACTGCAAACCTGTGCGTAGTTCGAAATGCTGATTTGTGGCACCGCAGGCTGGGTCACATCGGGATACAAAATTTGCGTAAACTAACGGCAATGGTATCAGGTATGACCATGGAACAAACTTGATTTTTGTGATACTTGTGTGGCAGTGCCGAGAACCATTCAACGGCACACGAGTAAGGTCTGAAAGACCGGTAGAACATGGGGCATGGATTCCCACTCAGCAGCGGAAAAAGCTAGATTCGAAGAATCAGTTGTCAATAATGGTCGGCTACGCACCTAATGGGTATAGGCTGTGGAATATAACGACCCAAAGCTTGTTTGTAGCATGAGGCGAAAAATTTAACGAAGACACATTTCCAAAATGAACGCAGTCTCCGAGTCCACCTATTTTGTGGCTCCTACCGATTTCGCAGACGACGCGGATGCTGGTGTTGCAGCACATTTACTAGACACTAGAAGATTCGAGCAAGAGGTGGAAGAATCAAATGAAGATGTCGAATCAGATGGTCAAGAGGATGTCGAACCAGATACTGCTTCCAATACACCGGCCGCTTCTTCTTCTTATTCGCATTTTAAGCTTATTGCTTACCGCATATTAGCTTATTGCGTGCTCTCAACTTAGTGTTCTAATGCACTTCCACAGTTATTGATTGAGAGCTTTCGATGCCAATACCAATGCATGAATTGGTATGTTGTGTGACAAGCACAATGATACTCTATGCCCAGGGAAGTCGAGAAAATTTCCAACCCGAAAGATTCCCTCGACCGGACTGGGAATCGAACCCGCCGCCTCCGGCTTGGTAATACCGTGCCTTTGCTGACTAGGCTATGAGGTCCCTTCGAATCTAGATCCTGGCCATAACCTTGACACGGCGACCACGAGGCACCGCAAACGGGAGCGCAAGCTCCCCGGTAAGTTACGAGATTTTTTTCGTTTGGAGGATTATTTTCTCCCCTGCAGACCCATAAGAAGATGACACTTCGTGAAGCTTCAAATACTGCGCTCTTTTCGTGCTTAAAACGTAGGTCAAGTTCCGTTGAAACTTCTAGGAGGTCTTTCGAACGGGAGCGCCCGTTCTGCGGTAAGTCAAATACGCTGTTAACTGGAACAGAAATGGTTTCTGCAGCCCAATCTCCCTGTGCTCTAGATGTTCGAACTACGTTCGATGAGATCTCCGGTCGAGCTGACAAGACATGCTGGTTGAAAGCTGTGAACGATGAACGGGATTCCTTGCACTCCACCAATAACGTTTGGCGACTTGTGAAGCGTCCTGAGGGAATCAAGCCGTTGCAATAGAAATGGGTATTTCGAGTCAAAGACGACGAATTTGGCAACCCCATCCGCTACAAAGCTCGCTTGGTCGCTAAAGGCTGGCGTGGACTATGCTGGAACGTATGCCCTAGTATCGAAGCTGATCACCATAAGGACAGCATTTGCAGTGTGGACTAGAAGCTTATATCATAGAGGTAACTCTAAGACTAGAAGCAACAATCAATACAAAACTAACGATTTTAAATTGGCTCACTACTTGACTAGCCTATTGGTCCCAAGCTAACGATTAACGTACCCCATTCTAGTCGAAAATCTAGTACTACGCAATGTTTGTTTTGATTCGCTATGAAAGTTTGACAGGTAAAATGAGGGGTTATTGGTTTTTCCTATGTTTCGAGGGGTGAATCGATTAGCTTGGGACCGAAGAGAGTACCAGAGCTGAGCCAAAAAGTTGAGCACGTTATTTCGGGACCTTCTAGTCTTAGAGTTACCTCTATGCTAGAAGGTCCCGAAGAAACGTGCTCAACTTTTTGGCTCAGCTCTAGTACTCTCTGCGGTCCCAAGCAAATCGATGCACTCCTCGAAACACAGGAAAAACCAATAACCCCTCACTTTACCTGTCAAACTTTCATAGCGAATCAAAATAAACATTGCGTAGTACTAGAATTTCGACTAGAATGGGGTACGTTAATCGTTTGCTTGGGACCAATAGGTTAGTCAAGTAGTGAGTCAATTTAAAATCGTTAGTTTCGTATTGATTGTTAGATACTTGAAGGGTACCAAGTCATCGAGATTGTTGTTTCGTGGCGAGCATGACTGAGTGTTGACCGTAAATGCAGATTGGACTTCAGATAGCAGCGATCGAAAACCAATAAGCGGATACCGTTTCAATGTCTACGGCTGTACCAACAATCAATACGAAACTAACGATTTTAAATTGGCTCACCACTTTAGTAGCCTATTGGTCCCAAGCAAACGATTAACGTACCCTATTCTAGTTGAAATTCTATTACTACACTATGTTTGTTTTGATTCGCTATGAAAGTTTGACAGATAACATCAGGGGTGTGTGGATTCATGCAGAACATGCAGGGGTGAGTGAAATAGCTTGGGACTGCTTGGGACCGTTGTTCTGGTACTGAGTGAGCCAAAAATAATAATGATTTTCTTCGGGACCCAGTGGTCTTAGAGTTACCTCTATGGTAATAGCGAATGCAAACGTGCTAAGCACATTGATATCAAGTGCCTCTTTTTGCGGGACCATGACTGGAACTTTTCGTGTGGAACCAATAGCAACTAATGGACAGTTAGCAGATATATTCACAAGGACACTCGAAGCTGGACGATTCCGTGAAATGAGGTCGCTAATAGCGAAGACAACAAATCAAGAAGACTGGCAACTTTGCCAGAATCCAAGCGACAGATACAATAGCGCTGCGCTTGAGTGAAGGTGGCAGCAACGCATAGAAAAATGAGCAAATACACGAACCTTTCTTCTGAGGATGGAACCTTTGCTTTAAAATTCATTCGAAGCATTTACCTTTGAGCGGCAGATGATGCGAATGTACCTGCCTCATAGCGTTCATATGAGAAAATGGAAGAGTTGCCAGTATTCTTGATTTGTTGTCTTCGCTAATAGGCAAATAGGCTGATTAAGAGTAGGTGTTGAAGATCGATGTAATCAGGAGACTACCCTAGTAACAAAGACATCATATCAAGAAGACTGGCAACTTTGCCACAATACAAGTGACAGATACAATGGCGCTGCGCTTGAGTGAAGGTGGAAGCAACGCATAGAAAAATGAGCAAATACACAAATCCTTCTTCTGAGGATGTAATCTTTGCTATCAAATTCGTTCGAAGCATTTACCTTTGAGCGGCAGATGACGCGATTGTACCTGTCTCAAAGTGTTCGTATGAGAAAATGGAAGAGTTGCCAGTCTTCTTGATTTGTTGTCTTCGCT